GACGTCTAAAATTTCAACAAAATCTCTTGCTTCGACTAGCTGGCCGATTCTTCAAGGTAGACTAGTCCTTTTTCTGATTTAACTTGTTCAGCTACATAGTGTTGTATGCAATTAATGCCAAAAGCACTTTTTAAAAAAAAAAAAAGTGGTTCGCCTAACATTATTTTCAGATCTCTTGAAGATTTATGTAGCTTCCGATCGATCGGCTTGAATTGAAACGATTCCTGATTCACGTCCATGAGAAATATCTCCCTGGGAAGAAAAGTGAAACAACGTCCTCCAAACTTTTCACTTTGCGATGTGTATGTATTGAATTTCAGAATTTTCTCTGTATCTCTAACCTGGAACGTGAAAAGAGAACTTCAGTTTGATGAAGTGATCAAGACCATCAACAATGTGTAAAACTCGCTTCTTGTTGTCTCGAGCGTCTTGAGAATCGATGTTCTCTTGATTCTGCTAAAAAAAATCTTCCTTTTGTTCTCTTTCCTCTTGACAATTTGAAACAAGTTCTTCACTTCTGGTCAAGTGCTGATTACTTATTCTAAATCTCTCATTGAGCATTTTGATTTGGAGTTCTTATTTTATTTTATTCTTCATCACGAGGACATTCGGTTTCACTGAATCTGCTGTTATTTTCAAAACAAAAGTTAACATAGACCGATATGTGTCGTGTATAATCACGTGTGTTAAGGACATTTCTCATTTTTGTGATCCGTGTGAAGAAAGAAATGGTTTATTATTTAATCTTACTCAAATTGTCAAGAACTTCAGGTTATTGTGATGGATCAAGATATTTAATTAATAAGAGTTATGGAAGGAGTACGGTTTTGGTAAATGAGTTCTAGTTATGTTTTTCTGTTTCTGGAATAGGCCGTGTGTGGCCTGCGTAGTTATGATGTATGTCCGCGTCAATATGTGTGTTTGATTTCCCTATATATAGACACTCACTGTAGCTCTCAGTTTCTTTCCTCATCGGAAAGAAACTGTAAGTCTTTTTACTTTCAATTATCTTTTATCAATACTAGTTCTCAAATCTAACTTCTGGCTATTTAGTTTTACATTCTTACTTACTTTTCCGAACTCGACTCTGTTCCATCTACCCTGTTGCTTTACGCACAGGTTTGTCTTATTATTTCTCTTTTCTCTTTCATTTCATTATACTAATCTGTAGCGTGTGTTAGGTGTGTTTTATCGTTTTGATAGCTGTTCGAAGCTGTTTGTTTAGGCTTGTGCCGTACTCATCTTGCACCTGTTACCCCAGGTTAGTTAGTATCTATGCTTATGATCGGTGTGAGGGTCAACCCCCCTGAGGGAGTAAGAAAACGCCTAGCGCTTTTCCTGTCCTGAGGCTTGAGATAAGGAGATCCAGCCTGAGGACGCAAAAACTCTTCTGAGAGTAAGTAGGGGAATCGGAGCCCTTTTGAACCTAGGGCGGGAGGGGTCGCAAGACAAGTGGGTTCAAAAAGAGGGCGTTGGAAGAGACGAGAGAGAGACGAGATGAGGCTAAGAGATGACTAGGAGAGAAGCAGCGATGGATTCGAATCAACTCAGAGAAGGGAGACGGATTCGAGGTGTAGGTTGATTAGGCATCACCAAACCTGGTCACCTGCCCTGAATGCTTACACATCCAGGGCGGGACTGCCTCTCGAGAACCTCGTGACCTAGATTCACCCGGTTGGTAGGTCATCTCCATGAGCTATCTGCGACATGGACCAGCGTCGATCCTAGTGCCGGCGTCACAACGCATACATCCACTTTCTAGACATCTCGTCTAGGAGAAAAGTGATCACAGTCAGGAACTGTTAGTTCTTTACAATCCCTATCTTTAAGGGAAATACGCTAAGTATTTTAGATGAGGGATTGACCCTCTTGTGAGGGTCAACCCCCCTGAGGGAGTAAGAAAACGCCTAGCACTTTTCCTGTCCTGAGGCTTGAGATAAGGAGATCCAGCCTGAGGACGCAAAAACTCTTCTGAGAGTAAGTAGGGGAATCGGAGCCCTTTTGAACCCGCTTCAGGGAGCAAAGATTCAAAGAGCTGAGACCTGCTAAAGGGTCTCGAAACCCCATACTCACGGAAGTTTTGGTCCCAGAAGGACATTTTCTTACTTTCCACGCAAAATTGCTCATAGCGTGAATTACAAATCTAACGAACGCGACGGCAACGCAGCCGCCTCGCTAAAACCTCTGTCTCACGCGCCGTTACAACATCATATCGGCGCACATACAGTTTGAAACAAGACGAAGACCATCTTCCAGATTTCTTCAGGGACTTTTCTGACATCCCTAAATGTGATTTCAGGGAAGCGCCACCTATCCTCAAGCTATGGCCGGACCAGTTACCACCTGAACGACCAGGAAAACTCCGTAAAAAGGTGATCACCGTTTGACGTCAAATTGGACCGCTGTAACACGCTGATGGAAATAAAGGGTCTGTCGGTCCCCCCTTCACAAGGTCCAAGACGTCCAGAAGGGCTGATACAGGGTCGAGCATGTTAGGTTGACGTGATAGTCGCAGTAACTGGACCTCGCCTGGTGCAGCCGTTTTCGCCATTCTGGCTCGAATCACTGCGTGTGAGTTATCCGAATTGAAAGAAACGTCCTTTCTTCGGATATATACGTTGGGGTGGTCAGATGCCAGCACAAGTTCCCCCAAACGGGCTAGACCCCAAAATCCAGTTAGGAGTAGTGCTTTCATCACGAGACCGGAGGCCGTATCGTTGCTCAGCCGAGAAACAAGGAAATGAACATCCATTAACGTTAACCCGGTACGTATGCGTGGAGGTTTCTTTTCAGTGGCCAATGCCGCTTTGAGCAACAGTCGAACTTTGTCAGGGTTCACTTGCGGAAAGACGGCATCGTGAAGTGTATGCCACATCCGTAGACCTGTTAAGTAACGTTTGATGGTGTTGCTTAATACAACGTCGTCTAGCTGGTTTCCTCGACACCAGTAAATGAAACGATATATTGCTGTGCTCGTAGTTGGGAATGGGTATAATTTAGTAGCCTTCATGAATTTGAAGTACCTGTTCACTGCGGCGGCGTAGTGTCGCACCGTAGAAGGTGCCCAACCGTGTGTCAAGATAAACTCGTTGGCATCGTCCATCTTCATTACGGTATCTGGGGTGGAATGTCGTAAGACCTGAGATGCAGTTGCCTACAGGGGTGCAAAGACTATTAGCGACCGGTTCAAGAAGGAAAAAGGCTAAGAAAGGTCGAAGGCTCGCCATGATTCAATCGTGAGTAATATCTTAACAATCAAAGTCGTGTCTGTCGTAAGAGGGGAACTAAATCGTTTGGCAATGTCAAACGAACCATCTTATCTATGCTTCGCGAAATGTCTAACCGACGAGACAGCTTGTCAGCGTCGTTATCCTCAGAGACTACCCGGACTAGGTTGACATCGCAGTCGTTGTCGATCAAGATATCCTGGATTAGTTTCCATTCGTTGTTGACCCACGGGTCGCGTGACTTCTTGTTTCTTGCGGCTCCTTCCGTGGTTGTGTTGTCGGTTAAGCAGGAAAAACTGTTGCCTGCAGTTTGTCCGGTTTTGACCAGCATCAGTAGACCTAGCCTTACGGCTACCGTCTCAGCCCAGGCGATGGTACGCCTTGGCATCTTGTAAGGGCGGTCCCAGCCCTCTAGCCATTCGAATTGAGCCCACTGATCTTTAATTATAATACCTATTCCATAGCTGGACGAGGCATCGCCTACCCAACCAACGTCTTTGATGGCGTAGTCCGAAACAATTCGTGTTGGCTGTAAGTGGGCCAGGGTCTTCTTCCAATATTGTAAATCTTCTTTCACCGCAGGAGGCATCTTTCTCAGACCTGGTGAACGCCAGATTGCTACCCACTTGAAGTTTTCAGTAAGGTAGGCCTTTAGTTGTGGAAGAATAAGTGTTAAATGAGATAATTTCCCGTTAAATTTTTGTACCTCACTTTTCTTGAAGAGATTTTTCGCCAAAAAGTCGTCTACTTCCTTAATTCGTTTCTTCAACTTCTTTTCAGGTAGAGTAACTGTTTTACATTTTGCGTTCCACACGAACCCTATGAATTTTTGTTCGTAGGAAAACTCAGCGTATTTCGTCGCATTCGTCTTCACACCAAGTTCTTCACTGGCTTTAACTATATCTTCCATTGACAGGGGGTCTGATTCATCTTTTATCATAAGATTATCGTCAACCCACCTGAAAGCTTCTACTAACTTGAATCTCTTCTTCATAAGCGTTTTCCATCCATCTGCAGGACCACCAAAAGATCCGCATCCAGCTACTCCACCAAAAGCTATCCGTAAATCGATATAAATAAGACCTCTGAAATCTCTTACAGCTAAGAATGGCCATTGCGATGGATGAGTTGGAATTTGCCTATAGGCGCCTTCCCAATCGAATAAGCCTAACTTAACCTTTCTTGAAAGTGTCTTGAAAAATCTCGCTACGATTTTAAAATCGTCCCAAGTAGTCCTAAAGTCTTCTTTGTTTACGAAAGAGTTTACTGATCTTATTTCAGTATCCCATTTAGGGAATGACATGTCGTTTATTGGTCTAAAGGTACTGTCTCCATTTTCCACTGCCCCTAATGGGCTTGTTCGAAAGAACCCGATGTTCTTATAAACATCTTCAGGTGTAAATGGTCCAAACATACGACCAGCCAGAACCTCTTTTTCTATACTCTTTTCGATTTTATTTCGTGCGTCTAAAGCCGATTTGTGATTCGGTGGTGAAAACCACTTAACACCTTCTACCACATGTTTAGGAATTCCTTGATGGAAACCTTCGATGAATCCTTCTAAAACATACATGTAATCCGTTAACAATTCGAATTTATCCAGCTCTCTTTCCCATGCCGCCACGTTCATTTCGCACCGAACTTTGGAAGGCCACAACTTCGTTTTATCGTATACGAATTCAGGAGTCATATTTCCAGAACCGCATGAATCACTTAATACTCTTTTACAAGGTATACTTAGCGCATCAACATTCAACATAATTATATCATCAATCAACGACCAAAGCTTCTGACAACTCTACATACATAAAAATATATCAAACATAATCTAGCTTACATTTTATCTTTAGAAGATGATTGGACAGGTAAGTTTTTCTCTTTATTCGCCTGATAATTCTCATCATAATTCTTTCCCTTGTAATTTGAATTTGGATGTTGAAAACCTTTTCCTTTCTCTTCCTTTGAATAAGGTGAAGGAGATCTTCTAACGGGCTTATTATAACCTTGTCTTCTTCCTTTGTTCTTTAATTTATTATCTCGTTGAACATTTGGTACTTTCAAATACGCAACCTCTTCGACTTCTACTTCTAAGTCAGTCGAATTATGATTCTTCCCTTGAGGGTATCTATTACCTGTTATCGGACTAAACTTCTCCTTTTCGTGGCCTTTCGCATAGGCTACTCGTTCAACAATCAGTTTATTTAACAAATTCCTCATATGTTAATGAACTTACGATTATCATATTTCATGATTCTACCGTCTCTTAACAAATTCGTTCTTGCTAGAGCGTCTTCCAAGAACTCCACTCTTTTAACTGATGGGTCTCCTGGAGCACCATTCACATGGTTGCATAAAACATCCGTTCGTACTGCTATGTCGTATCTAAACGCAGTTACCCATCCATGTCTAACGCTAAGTTGTTGAACATACTCAAAGTGTTCTTCTAAGCTACAGACGACACGTTAAGGACGACACGTGAATCAGTTGTCATTATTTTCTTTTTGAATCATAAGTTTCAATTCTTACTCATTTCCAAAGTCTTCATGTTTATAATGGGATTTGATGTATTTCACCATCAATTGCCGTGCTCTTGTCCATTCCACAAACGATAACCACCATTCGCTCTTCGGTATTTGACCGGTGATTCGGTCTTTCTTTTTCGAAGTTGTATTACCGCCTGCTACCATCGTGTCAAGTTCAATCCATTCTTTGTTGAAGATAGTTAATGGTAAGTGATAGTCTAACTTCTTAAGGTGAGTATCCCAGAATTCCGTGAATCCTCTCAATCCTGAGCGAGATGTTTCTCCTTTCTTATAATTCTTTAATGGATTTATTTCATCGTTGGACGAATTCTTAGCTTTCTTGTTGTCTTTACCCATTGAATTAAGAATTATTTCCAACAGTTTATCGTCTTCATTAGCCAAAGCTTTCTTAGCTTGTTCTATCAAGAACGCTATATAAATTCAAAGCCAAAAGATTTCATATCAGCTAATCGTTTTATTTTTACAATCAGAACGAGAAGGATATTCTAATGACACAAATTCCTTCTAATTGGATTCTTAACCATGTCGTAATTAATTACTTGACAATATATATGTCGCAAACTTTCGTTTACTTGACAATAATTCATAATTTTGTTGCAAGGCCTCTTGCTTGACAAATGACTGATAACATTATCGTAAGATATTCTCACTTGACTATCGTTGATCGTCGTAAGAATATCTTACTTGATAATTTCCGAAATTAACTCACCATTCTTGTTCTCTCCTTTCTTTTCTACTAATGTAGATAAATTTGATGATCCTCTCGATGACTCATCTGAATCGTCCGATGATAAAACTACATCTTGATTCTTTTTCGTTTTGTTCTTGCTTTCTTTCAACATAGTAAGTTCTTCTTCATCTGAGCTGTTTACCATTTGTTGTCTTTCTTGTTCATCTTCTCTTTCAATTCTTTCATTTTCTTCTAAAGTTGTTTCAATTTGAAAATCTTGATGAAATTCTAATTCGTCTGAATTTGGAGGAGTCGGTTCCGGCTCAAATTCTGGTGTTAAACCCTTGTTTCTTCTACTCGTTCTCATGGTTCAAAAAGAGGGCATTGGAAGAGACGAGAGAGAGACGAGATGAGGCTAAGAGATGCACTGCCAACATATTTACCTCGGATTTTGTAATCCGAGGTATCCTCGGATGCAAAACCTCGGACAGAAGCTTCCCGAGGTTTTGATCCAAGGTTATTTCCAGGGCAAAAAAATACCTCGGGCGAAAACCTCGGACAAGGTCTGTCCGAGGATTTGCCTCCGATGATGCCTCGGGTTGAGAAATCCGAGGCATCTATGCTGGCAGTGATGACTAGGAGAGAAGCAGCGATGGATTCGAATCAACTCAGAGAAGGGAGATGGATTCGAGGTGTAGGTTGATTAGGCATCACCAAACCTGGTCACCTGCCCTGAATGCTTACACATCCAGGGCGGGACTGCCTCTCGAGAACCTCGTGACCTAGATTCACCCGGTTGGTAGGTCATCTCCATGAGCTATCTGCGACATGGACCAGCGTCGATCCTAGTGCCGGCGTCACAACGCATACAAAACTTTTTACATTCTTACTTACTTTTCCGAACTCGACTCTGTTCCATCTACCCTGTTGCTTTACGCACAGGTGTGTTTTATCTTTTTGATAGCTGTTCGAAGCTGTTTGTTTAGGCTTGTGCCGTACTCATCTTGCACCTGTTACCCCAGCTTTACGCACAGGTGTGTTTTATCTTTTTGATAGCTGTTCGAAGCTGTTTGTTTAGGCTTGTGCCGTACTCATCTTGCACCTGTTACCCCAGCTTTACGCACAGGTGTGTTTTATCTTTTTGATAGCTGTTCGAAGCTGTTTGTTTAGGCTTGTGCCGTACTCATCTTGCACCTGTTACCCCAGGTACCTTTTTCATACGGCAAAGCCAACGACCTTCGAGCGCTCTCTACTAAACCTTTGAGTTCCGAACTTCTCAATATGATTTTAAATCTCATCAGATTTTTAATCATCACATCAAGTTTATTTAATTTATTCATCATTTCTGAAGCTGCTTCGATCCCAGAAAATGAAGCTATTCCATCAACACAAAGAGTTTTACAAGATTTCTCTCTACCTTTATCAATCCAATTAAAATCATCCAAAATCCCTAGTGGAAAATTACGTTTTACTGCTTCAAATGGTGCTCCATACTTGACACAAAAGGGATCTGATAGTAAGTTTAAAGAATCCTTTTGTTTTCCCAGTATGACTAAAGTATTTAATCACTTTCATGAACCTTTTAATCTTACTTTCTTTTAAATTACTAGCTAGATTTTTATTTGAACAAGAACAAATGAATGATTTGCTAGCTCATTTTGTACGTGAACGTATACCTGATAGAATAGTACATGCAAAAGGAAGTAAGTCAATGGCTTTTCCATAATATGGTTTAATTTTTAGAATGTTTGATATGTTTGATTTGGATTTGACTTCTTTGTCTTGATTTGGTTTATTCCAAAACTCGTAGGTGGTGCACATGGTACATTTACCTGTACAACAGATTATGCAAAACAATTTACAACTATGGATGTGTTTTCTCAAAGTGAGCCATTTGTTTCGGTTCTGATAAAGTTATCAATTTATTGATTTCGAATTCTTTTTTTGTTTTTAGTCGGTAAAAAGACTCCAATTAGTGCTAGATTTAGTACTGTAGGTGGTGAGAGTGGTTCTTCTGATCAAGCAAGAGATCCAAGGTTTGTTAATATTGTTCGACCTAAGTTTCTTGAGAAATACTTTATGAACTGATTTGTCTTTTTTTGCGATTCCTTTGAATGTTAGGGGTTTTTCTTTGAAGTAAACACTTTTTATTTTGTTCTTTCCTCGTCTACGTTTAAGCTGATTCTTTTATCCTTAGATTTCGTACTGCGAGCGGAATTTGGGATTTAGTTACACTACACAAAATATAATATTTTCTGGGCAGAAAATTAAATTATTGATACACAAAAATATTGAGAGGCCAGGAGAAGGGCAAAAAATAAATAAAAATATGCATCTTGTTTCCTGCGGTGAGAGCTTCACTCTCCATATTTTTCCATATTTTTACAGTCCGTATTGATAAGTGTACTAACAATATACCTTCATAATCATCCAATTACAACCTGTAACAAGCAGTGAAATTTGGCTCATTAGTGTTTAGAGAAACTTTTGATTTCTGAAAACACCTATAACTTTGTCAAATCTGCATCAAAACACTCGATTTTAAGTGCATTAGAAAGCTGAACTCTTCCTCTCAAACTTTCATAAGATCAAGAACTATGTAGCTAGTATGCCAATCATTCTATGGATCTGTATGTACAAATGTATAAAAATGATGATATCTTTTTTAGCAGACCAGCATGCTGTGTGGTCCTATTACGAGCTATTTGGAGGACAATTCCAGCTTACCAATGCACCCAAAATCGAGCGTTTTGGACAGGAATTGAAAAAGTTATGAGTATTTTCAGAAATCAAAAGTTTCTCTAAACACTAATGACCCAAATTTCAGTGCTTGTTACAGGTTGTAATTGGATGATTGTGAAGGTTTATTGTTAGTACACTTATCAATATGGACTGTAAAAATTTGGAAAAATATGCAGAGTGAAGTTCTCAACGCAGGGAACAAGATGCATATTTTCATTCATTTTTTGCTCTCCTCCTGGCCTCTCAATATTTTTGTGTATCAATAATTTAATTTTCTGCCCAGAAAATATTATCTTTCTTGTAGTGTTAGTAAGTGAAATCGATTGATAAACTTCGTGAAAAAGTCGAATCGGAATCCCAATCCTTTCTTGTGATTTCCATCATCAAAGTGAATAATACACCTATCTTCTTCAGTGAGTTTTTTTTGACAAAATTACTCCCTTGTAAAAATGAATTTCCTAAGAAATCGTTTTTTTTCAGTAAGAGATCCAGTAAAGTTTCCAATTTTTTTACATACTCAAAAACGGAACCCACAAACCAATTTAAAAGATCCAAATCTGTTTTGGTAATTATTTGATTTTACGTGACTCTATGAACTTGTAAAAAAGAAAAATCGAGTGCTGAAGTCTGTTTTGCTTTGGTGTTGGGGAAAATTGGAAATAGGGATTATCTAGGAGCTAATCATGAAGCTGTGGGTCAATTCTTGAGACTTTTTTCCGATCTTGGGACTCCAAAAGGTATTTCAGTTTTTTTCATCTAGATCTTCTTCTGTTTGAAGATCAAAGAAATCTGTTTCTCAAGAATTAATGGTGATCATACCTATGGATTTCTTATCAATCAGGGTTTACACAAATGGATGCTTGGTCTGGACATTCATATAGATGGATTAACCAAGATGGTAAATCAAATTCAAATAATTGATTTTGGTTTTGAAAAAAGATTCTAGAACTTATGATTTGAAACTGATTGATAAAATAGGTTCATTTGTTTATGTTAAGATTTATGCTAAATCAAATCAAGGAATTCATAACTTTACTTCTGCTGAAGCAGAAAATCTTACAACTCAAAACCCAGATTGGGCTACTGAAGTAATTAGGATCCTTCTTTCAATGATTTTTTGTTTCTTTTTTTTACAATGTTCAGATTTAAATTGACGTTTGGATATTTATTTACAGGATTTGTTCAAAAGAATTGAAACTGGGAATTTTCCTAGTTGGACGATGTATGCTCAAGTTTTAACACCTGAAGAAGCAGAGAGTTTTAAATACAACGTTTTAGATTTAACAAGTTAGCTTGTATTTCCCTGTTTCTCTTGCTCGATGATTTGCATTTTCCTTCATAATTTTTTGACCAATGTTTTTTCGATTTCATATAGAGGATTGGCCGTTTGATCTGGTGGAACCTAAAGAAATTGGGAAATTCGAATTGAATCAAGTATGTTAAATTCTGCTTTTTCATGCGGGAATGTTCGTATGTGCAAAATTCATTCAGATGTTGTATTGACATCTTCTATTGGATTGAAAGAATCCATTGAATTACTTTGCAGAAGTGAGCTTTCAACCATATGTTCTTTTGACCTCTTCAACTATCCAACGTAATACAAGGATTAACGGAATCAAACTAATCTCTCATGGATTAGGTTGAACAAGCTGCTTATTCTCCTTCAAATACTGTGGAAGGTTGGAGAGCAAGTGCAGATCCAGTTTTACAACAAAGATTAATAAGTTATCCAGATGCATCTGTAAGTTATTGTTTCAAAGATTCAACTTCCTTGGAGACATAATTGATTGACGTTGTCCTAAATAACTGTGAATAAAGAGGTACCGTTTGGGACCCAATTTCGAACAAATCCCAGTAAATTGCCCTATGAATCCGATTTGTAAGTTGATTTCTGAGTAAATTTCAATTCAGGAAGTCATGAAATCTAATGGTTTCTTTATTCAGCTAATTTTGATAGGAGTGGACCCATGAGCGTTTTAGGAAACCAAGGGAATCGTGTGAACTATTATCCACATCTTCGAAGTTTAGGAGTAAGTGATTTGGGGTATGATCAAACACATCTAGATTTCATCAAGAAATCCATCTTATCAATGAATGATGTAAGTTTATGTTTAAATAAGGATTCCATTATAAATGTTTTCAAATTAATTTCACTGATTTATATCTCTCACAGATTAGTGATCTTGATTTTGATCAACCTAGGATATTCTATAATGGACTATCCACGCAAGACAAAGCTAACTTAATCAAGTAAGATTTGAACCTCTTCGTAAACAAGACTTGATAACTTGAGCTCATCCAGTTTCTTTTGTTGATTTTGTTTTAATGAAAAAAGTAATATAATCTCGAGTCTTTCTAAAGTGACCGAAGAATTAGTGATTAAAAACGTTTTGAATGTATTTTCAAAAGTCTCATTTAACCTTTCAAGTTCAATCAATTCAGGTCTCAAAAAATAAACTCTTATTGTTGATCCTTACTGTTTCTTTCATTCTCTTATCTTGAAAACTTCAATTTTCTTTTCTTTCTTTTCTTTCTTTTCTTTCTTTCTCTTTGTTTTGGATTTTATGCTATCTTTATTCATCTTCTTATCGATAACTTTGTATTTCGTATATGAAAGGTTGGCCTGTATGAATGTAATCTCAAACATCTCAAAGGGAGGTTTTGGAATCAAAATTGGAACACCGGACTCAAAAACCCCGACTTTGGATAAGGTGCGAGCCCCTTGTATCACATTTACACCATTGGCGGGTGAAGGTTTATGGAGGGATGGAACAGGATATGAGGCAAAAGAGAGTGGTTTTGACCTCCTCAGATTTCTTTGTCAGCCTTAACAAAGGAACGACTTAATGGCATAGTTCCATGATACAGTTTTGGGATGAGAGTAAAACCCATAAAACAATAAACAAAAAATTTTACAGAGATTTGGAGTGGTAATACACACTCCAAATACTCCGCTTTTACTCTCCTCTCGATAGAAACTTAATCACAAATCCATTCTCAGAGGTGTAAAGAGTAGTCTTTCAATTTAAAAATTTATTCTCTCATCTTAGAAGTTTAAAGTAAACAAATGACAACTTTCGACAGCGACCTGAAAGAAACGCAAGAGAAGATAAAGCAAGCAGGTCTTAAGATGAAGAAAGGAAAAGACAATGCCAACACGACACAAGGTACAAGTACAACCACGAGGAGCCAGTCAAAGAACAGAGAAGCAGCCGGACAAGCGGCAGGAAACGAACAGAATGGTGGAAGCGGACAACCTAGTGGTAGCGGAGAAAGACAGGGAGCGGAACATGAACCTCGAGAACAAGACGAAGTGGTAGGAGTAGAAAGAGAAGGCGGTGAAGAAAGTGGAAACGAAGAACAAGAAGGAGGCAGGCGAGGAGAGATCGAAGAGAACGGAGAAAGAGGAGGTAAGTAGAAAGACGAACCCCACACACCACCTAGAAATTTCAACATCCCCATCCCATATCCATCTCTTCCTATACACCAGCCACCAGTAGACCTTCCTTGGGAGTAGGCCATGAGGAGTAAGGGCCAGGAAGCAGGTCACATGAGGAGTGATGGAAAACACAGAGGTGTAGAGGGGGGCACAGAGAGGTGCAAGGAATTGATGGCATAGAGAGGAAGCCTAGTGAGAGGAGAGAGGCCAGACGGGGCTAGAGACAGAACAAAGAACTAATGTTGGGAAAAATTATGTTTGAAACACTTGCAGGAGTAGATGAGCAGTCGAGTAAAGCGAAGTGGTGGTCAGCAATAGAGTTCGTGTTCGACACGGAGCAATTAGACTTGGGAATGACGATGCTACAAGGTTTCAACTTGATGTACGGCAAGTCAGATCGAGGCGAAGAGATCATGAGAGGTCGCGATAAACGAGCCAGATCACCGCTCCAATATCGTGACGAAAGACCGAGGACAGAATCGCTAATAGTAGGAGGAGATGACGAAGAGGAGGAGATAGAGGTTGTAGAGAGAGGAGCTGAAATAGATGAAGAACGAGGAAGGAGTAAGACAAGAGACAGAGCAACGAAGAGAAGAAGAGAGGAACCTGCAGAGAAAGGGGAGGAGGACATCGAGGAAGCGGAAACAGGAGAGGAGAGCGAAGGTGAAAACGCAGATCGTAAGTGAGGTTGATGCAGAGAAGAGAGACAGTGGACCTGAAAAACCTGAAATGTGTTGGTAGAAACCGAAGGGGGCATAACCTACAGAATAGGCAAACCACTAGGTAGCTCTTCGATGCTGGTACCTCTAACGCCGTACTGGGAAAATCGGATGAAGACGTTGAAGGCGTACGTGCCACTAACAATTTTTGATGTGAACTGGATAGAGAAGGATCAAAGAGCAGCAGGCAAGAAGAAAGTGAAAACACTAAAAGAATTACAAGAGGACGACTCGTCAGCGACCTACTCAGGGCTAGCACCAAACGAAGAGTTGATGATGATGTACGGATTTTGGATAGACGCGTTTGACCTGTTCATAAGGTACCTGAAGGAGGAGTACGAGAGGCCGATGGCGGCAAAGATGTTCGAACGACACAGGCTGAACGTAGTGAAGGTAAAGCGTATGACGAAGTGTTGGATGGTGGCACTGAGGTATGATATGAAGGTCAGACTAGTAACGATGAAGATAAAGAAAGCGTCAGGAGGAGGAAGAGTAATGGAGGATGCGGGTTACTTACATGAAGACCTCTTGAGGGAGGCGAAAGAAGACTCGGAAGCAATGGGGGAAAGGAAGTTCCCAGACAACCCGTATGTGACAGGAGGAGGATTGGAAAACGTAGACCCGTCGACTGGAGTGTCGAAAGCGGCGAACACGTGGGGAGGATACGCAGAAGCCAGTAGCAGCAGAGGTAAGAGACCCGAGAAGTTGAGATATAAGTAGAAAATAGAACTGATGAAGTTGAAACGGACACCACAGGTAGCGGAAGAAGCAGAGGGAGAGGTTGGCCAAGTAGCGGCAGAGGAAGCACCCAAAGCACGAGAGGAGTGAGCAACGGTAGTAGGGGAGCAAGAGGGAACGGCTGGTTCCAAGGAAGAGGAGCAGGCTGGTGGGCGAAAGCGAGAGGAGGATCAGGAGGAGGCAGTGCGAACAAAGAGTAAGTTTCCACTAGAGATAGAAGAACTCCTGTTTCTACAATTTAGTAGCACAAGAGCGTAACAATGAGATGAAATGAAATAACATGAGACTGTTCCAAAACTAGCCCCGTACAAGTAGCGTCCAACCCGTTGGCGAGAACCACTGCGAGAATGAGAGAGAAGAACGCGGGAGTTGAAGCAAGAGATGAACCAGGAAATCCAAGAGCGGGAGAGAACCAAGAGAGAGACACAAGAGACGCGCAAGAAGAAACAGAGACAGAAGAGGCGGAGTCGACAGAACCAGTGGTGGAAGGCGCAAACGAAGAGGGAGACGAATCGGAGGACGAGCAGGTGAAAGAAGTATTTATCCTAGATTACGAAGAACAAGAGACAAACAAAGATGGTCAGGAGGAGTTGACAGTGAGAGACAAGACAGCACCGACTCACGATTACCCGGTGAGAAGAGAATGGCCAACAGAAGTTAAGTGTGAGATGGAAATAGACGAATGGGAGAAGGAGTTAAAGGTGCTAGGACTGTGGGAGGAGCACAGCTACGTAGTGGTAGGATTTAGAGAGGGTTTCACGCAAGGGGTACCGGAACACGAACTACAAGGAATGCGGTTTTACTCACCTGATAACCACAAGGTATCGGAAAAAGATAAAGAAGAAATCCGAGAAAAACTCAAGAAAGAGCTAAGAGCAGGGAGGATGCTAGGCCCGTTCACGGAAGAAGAGGTATTCTCAAAGGTTGACTTCTTTCGAACGAGTCCGATGGGAATGGTGGTGAATGGTGATGGTACGACGAGGATAATAAACGACCTGTCATACCCGAAACGAGATGAAAAGATCATGTCAGTAAATTCCCTGGTAGACAAAACAGAGTTCGAAACGAGCTGGGATGACTTCAAGAAGGTAGCAAAGTTTTTCAGCGAACTTACAGAGGAGGTCGAAGTAGGTATTTTTGACTGGGAGAAGGCCTACAGGCAGATCCCAACAAAACCGAGTCAGTGGCGGTTCTTGATGATAAGGACACCTGAAGGATGGATTTTGGTAGACTTACGTGTGACCTTTGGAGGGGTAGCGGGCTGTGGAAGTTTCGGAGGACCGGCAGATGCCTGGAGGGCGATAATGAAACTGAAGTTCGATTTCCTGGAAGTTTTTTGCTGGGTAGACGATAACTTGTTCGTACGAAAGAAAGAACAGGAGAACAAGGTATCGATGGTGGAGGTAGTAGAGGCAAGCGCGAAACTAGGCGTTAGGACGAATGAAGGAAAGTATTCGGAGTTTGGCGAAGAGCAGAAGTACATAGGTTTTATCTGGAATGGGAAAGACAGGTCAGTAAGATTGCCGGAAGCAAAAAGGCAAGAGAGACTAAGCCAGGTAATCGAAACGTTAGAGAAGAAAGAAGCGCCGTGATAACAGGCCAAGGTCGAATAAACAAATACAAACTTGTAGAAAACAAGTTATAAAGATAGAATAAGCGAGGTTAAGCAACTTATCACAAAGAAGATAAGATATTAAACTTAACCTCCTTTATAAGGTTCTTACCTAGAATGTAAGAAACTGAGAGAATGGAATCGTGAGAAGGCTTTGAAGAAAAACTATCACTAAGTATTTGAATTCAGTAATCTGATGAGGGGCAATCTGGCTAAATGGAATCTCTTGCTGCTCAAAAGTGACTCCTTCTCTTGGCCCTGTCATATCAAGAACCAGCCAAGTCAGCTTGTAGGCCAATTGATCTGATATCAAAAGCAGTCGTCTTCCGCTTTGAACATTGAGATACTTCACCAACACCCCTCCGGGACCGAGAGACAACCAATAAAAAATGAAAATTCAAATGAGAACCACAATTCAAGTAATAGGAGACATAGGTGTGCATAAACACAAGGACAATGTAGGCAAATGAAACAAAGACACAACAGCCAAAAGATGGAAAATGGATATGGCAAATTTCTTCGGATTGTAGACTGTGCATGGGCGTGGAGAGTTATGTAGCATGTTGCTTTCTCGGGTTTGTATAGGATTGAATGCAGTTTCTATGTGTTGCTATGCAAACGTCATTTAGAGTCTGATAGGTGCTCTAACAAAGGACTCTCAAAGAGTTTCCTCATTGAAGATGTGATGGATTTCTCAGAAAGGTTGACATTGGTAAGGAATGAGGTGGGTAAAGCTGGGTAAAGCACTGCCACTGCGTGTCAGGTGTTTTAGAAACAACTTATGGTGGTCGGATTCTACACTTTGCATTATCCAACAGTGGACTTCATGCGTGTTCATGCACTGAATAGATTCGCAAATTGGCTACCACACGACGCAAGATCAGATTTAGCGCTCGGGACCGCATGAATTCCGATGAAACCTGATGAAATACACTCAACATAGTGGATGCTCCTATGTAAGTATGTGGGAATCAGTTCCCGAAAAGGATGATAGCAAGATTGAGAAGAATGATTGCGAGACAATGGCATAGTGATAGTCACCAGTTATGTCGGAAAAGCACCGCTCACGAGATCCCGCAAGGGGCGACGAGATTCGGTGTGTTTCAGGCTGGGATTCGGCATCTTTCTTGAGGATTTTGTGAGATTTCTCTGCGGCATGCTAGAGGCTAACAGCTCATGCGATGGTCAAGATTACTCATATGAACATACAGAGTCGATTGGATCTTGAAAGCTACGTGTTTTGAAAGTATACGACTTTACCCAGACTGGTAAGCAGTGCTCAGAGGTCGAATTGCGTTGATGAAGGATCCATTTCTTAGTTTTATGCTTCTTCCACCTTGCATTTGACAGATTCCCGTTTTCCATGTACAAAGCGAACTAACCAACTGACCACTATCAAAGATCCCTTCATTTTCATCATATTCCTGTACCATACGTATTTCTTTTCACATTACCTTTTTCTTCATCCTCGATTTCAAGTAAAGCAGAACGTCCCGAGAACATTTAACATTAGAAAGTACACATTTTTCAATCTTCTTGTCTACTTGAGGTGGCCTGTCAAGATTGGCGGTTATTCGAAATGCTTCAAAGAACAATATACAACATATCACTCATCGCCATCGCACTCAGCTTATCATCGACCACTTTTGCAATAAGCTTTAAAAAAGACATAGTGGTTCAACCTGACAAGATCAACACGAAATGGAGAGCAGATAGCTCTGTATCATCAGATGTCAATAGCTGGCAGATCTTCAAGTTATCTTCATTTTCTAATGATCAGGTAAGGCTTAAGAAAATGATCAAGGAGGGCATATTACTAATGTTTTTTGCTTATAGGTTTCCAATTCGAAACATCGAATTTCATCTTCAGAAATCGAATCTCATTTCACTTATCAAGATGAACGCATATTGAACGCCCATCTTTTCGAGCAAGGTACATTTCAATTACCATCTGATTCTATAGATTTTCAGAATCACAACATTTGAACTTATGTTTTCTTTTTTCCTCACCATATCATTTCTGATAAATCTGAAGAAGAACCGTATCAGTCTCGACGAATGAGAAAAAAATTAATCAAAAGATCACCTGCACTTGAGGGTCTTTTGAATGGAGGAAGAGAAATTGGAGAAGCAGCAGAGGGGTCAAAAGCAGCAGAAACTATAGCTGATATTAACAAAGGTTCGAAACCATTCATCATCAGTGTTTGTGTATATAGGATACCGATTATTAATCTTTGTGATGATGAACGCGTTTAGCTAGGGAACTTTCGACTCCTCCGAGTGACCGATTGATTAACACGGATTTTGCAAAGTATGGAAAAGGTAAGAAAGACTGATCGTTTATCAAGGGGAAATCAATCTTTCTATACCACAGTTTAAATTTCTGATATCATTACTGTTTACTTTTTGATGTGTCTTCAAGCCGATTCTTTTCGAGGCCCAACATCCAAATTAAACACGATTCCAGCTGGTAAGTAAAGTTCTCATTAATATCGTAGCATCAAAACGCAAAAAAAAGTCTTTCCCGATCATGTGATCGCTAACAGAAACCGTGATGATTCTTTCTTTGAACTTAAAGTCACCAGATCAAAATCACTCCCTAGCACCTTATCAGGAGTAAATGACCAAAAAGCAGCTCTGAAAGCCATGGACGCTCGTTTCGACACATCCTTATATCAAATCACAGATGATATCTTTAAGACTGAGCCAAAGCCAGTAGAAGCAGAAGATTTTGAATATGATGAATTTGAGGAAAAATATCAGCAAAACCAAAAACGTCCGGTCGCTTTTGAAGCCTTCCTTTCACTTTATGCAGAAAAAGAATTATTTCAAACTATCATTGATGGTAAGGAAGATATTCAAACCGTTAATGCTTTAGCCAACTTAGTAGAGATCAGAAGAGAAGCATTTGCCGATGCACTCAAAACGGCCATCAAAGCGGGTGTGGAAGACAAAGGGTTTTTGAATTATAGAACTACTGAAAAAACTCATGCTCAAGTGGTTGCTTTGAGGAAATTAATCTCGACACCTGAGATAGATCTAAGCCAGCTTAAGAATGCCAATGATCTAGGTGAGTCAACTCAAATCACATTGATCTGTCTCTGATTCTGATGGTGAAACTGAAACTGATGGTGAAAAATGAAATTTATAAACCTGCTTTAGGAAAAGGCACACGCATTTCATTTCCAGAAACCTTGACGGAAGATGAGTTAAGAGGAAAGAACTCTGACCTCCTTTTCCAAAAACCACTAATGGACATCACAGCAGATGAATACTTTGATGCACTCTACAGACCAAAATCAAGTATTGATATCCCACCCGCAGAAGAAGTAAACGTAGAGAAAGTCAAAAGTTTAGCAAACGAAGCCATGGAAGCGGATTATCTTTATGATAAAGAGCATACAGAAGCTACTTATTTAGCATCAAGAGAAGCACGAAAACATTATCAGTATTACCTTTATTCATATATTGCGAAAAATTCAAAGATTAATTATAGTCTATTCACTGATTTACAAGAAATCATTAATGCAAAAGGTATTCCACTTGGACTTCAAACTCCATCAAAAAGTAAGGTCTTAGTTTGGTATAATCAATTTAAATCTCAGTATCAAGCAGTCATAGCTAGACTTTCATCAATATTCAAAGGAGGTCCAAACAGTAGGATAGTACCAATCTTCCCTGCTGAGGAGATTGATGCATTATCAGTCGTCTGAATGTACCTATCTTTGTTTTCATTTGAATAAGTCTTCCAAATGTATCGTAAAGAAAAAACGCAGTGCGTTGTCCATCAATTCTACAAACATTAAAGTTGTATATATCACCCATCAGTTTGAGTGTAGATCTTCCAAATTCATCTCCAGTCTTCTTTTCATCATGTACCTATCATGAATGATGATCTTAACTACATTCAATCTTTCAGAATCATTACAATCCCAATCTAATTCTTGATGATGAGGAACAATAAAAAATATAGTACGTCCATTTCTACGGAGTTGATTTGGATCACATTATGCAAATCCTCAATCATTTTGAAAAAAGAAACCGCGAGTCTGAGATGATTGAAAGAAATTCACCTTTTCTTCTTTCTTTGTTTACCTTGGAGACTTGAAGACTTCTTTCTTTCAATATTCTTTTTCTGCAAAAAAAATAATCGATTTCTAATAATTTCATCAAATCTTTATTATTTACACACCTAAAATTTGAAAAAAACAATAAAATAGATCCAGAACGATTAAAATGCAAGTTGATACACTGGAAAGAGAAAATGATGCGTAATAAATAAACTATAACTTTAAGAACCCAATCCCAAAAGAAAAAAACCTTCATGATGTTTACCCAACCACACGTCATTAATTTTGTTCAATTCAATCAATCTACTTCTTTCTATTCTACTCTGTAACTTTCAAACTGATTAATGCAAAAAAAGCCGTTTTCTCTTCAAAAAAAACTCATTATATGACTCAAAGTTGACCCTACAAATTTCACAAATTAGTTCAGTTCTATTAATTATTTTCTGTTTTTTTTTTAAAAAAAAATATCGAGTGGATCTTTTAATTATTATAATTCATTTCTAATCTATCATCAGAAGAAACCCTAGCATACTCCAAATAAGTTCTCCACATATCTAAAGAAAAGAAAACCATCATCATCATCATCGTGAAAAAAAATCTTTTCCAAAAACCTCTCATGAACCCCCAGAAAAAGACTCACAAGCCTGAACATCTTCAAACCTAAAATGATCATCCACCCAAGCTTTACCATTCCCAGCAATCTGTTCAGCCAAGCCATCAAACCCACCTTTCCCATCCAAATCACCAGTAAAGAAACTCATCAAATCTAACAAATCTGAATAATCAATCTTAATGGGAACATAATGAAACCAAGCTTGAATTCGATCTTGATACCATTCTGGCCAAATTGTGGATTTGAAAACTAATGAGTTTGATCCTAATAATCTTCTAAACCTACCTGACCATGCGTTTCCGTCTATATCTAAGACGTACTATAAAAATATGATCAAGAAAATCAGATTGGATCAAAGATGTTATTATTAAAGACCGATTTTAAAAAAATTTATAGACTGATTGTAAGATAATGATGGCTGATCTAAAACTTACTTTATGATTATTTTGATATTCCCAATCAACATAATCTCCAAACTCAATCTCTTGCCCCACTTTTTCACAACTCCCATCTTCGACTGAACACTGACCCAATTTTCCCACAAACCCAACATTCAAATACCTTTTGACCAATTCATTAAACCTAACTTTCCGATTCACTACTCTAATAACCTCTTCTTTTCCAGTATCTGAAGCTCGACTAACATTCAAAACCTTAATCGAACCCATCAAATCAGTTTGATTAAACTGGCCAAGCGAATGTAATCTAAACCGATGTGAATTTCTCCATTGACTAAGTCGATCAAACCAAACGCCTGTGGCCGTTCCTTTCCACATCAATCTTTTCGATTCGGTTTTCTTCGCCCATGGTTTGAAATCTTTCGAATTGATTAAAACGTCTTCAAATTGTTCTAATGGACTGATCAATAGATCAGATGTGAAACTAGGTTGTTGTGCAAAACTAAAGATCGGTCTTAACACTCCTGGTCTAGGTCCTGACCATGATGTGAAACCTAAAGAAATGAAATCATCATCATCAAAACAATCATTTAGAAAGAAGAGATGATTTTTGGTTGATCTGTACCATGTAAACTTTGCCATTCTGGATGTAAACACATATTCATCGTTGCAGAATGGTTTAATCCGATATAACCTTTAGACCCAAACTCGGGTGAAAAACTTTTTAAGATTCCATTGGAATACATTCTCATTGGTGAATCAGGTGAACAAGCTCCAAGAAATCCAGTTAAACTGATCATTGAAAAACGAAAAAAAAGCCCCCGGTTGTAGGATTCTTGAGTGGTTTGATTTGACTTGGTCAGGATTGTGAAGATGAGAAAAGACTTACGCTGCATTATCTTCAACTAAATCGACTTCTTCTTCAGGAATCACTTTATTCATTCGAAAGATTTCAAAACAAAACGAAAAATCAAAATTAATTCAAGTTCCAATTTCTGAGGACTTTTTTTTTGTTTTGGATGGAAACCTTTACCTTTTCCTTCTCTAGCATAATTTATATGTTTTTGTTTAGTTTGATAATCCATAAAGACTGAAGGACCATCATGATGACTCATAGTGATATTCACATCAGGTAAGAATTGAATAAATTTCTTTAACCTTGAAGTTTTCAATGAAAATTAAAAATTAAAAATTTCAAGTTTAAATTCCAAGAAGGATTCGAAAACCGATCCGAAGCAAAAAAACACATACACATATATATACTTGAACTTACAAATTTAATTGATCTTTTGTTCTTCCTGCGTCTTTCTTTTTTCCTGTGACGGTGACTTTTCCATCTTTGACTCTCATGATGGTAAATGCATCATCCAAACCGACGATTTCACTTCGATTCCTTATAACTAAAAAAACCAAAAAACCGGGCAAAAGAAACATCCCAAGCTTCAATATAAAGTTCTCAGAACCAAGGCTCTGATCAAATAAGAAATTCAAAACTAAACCATGAGGAGGTAAAGCCCAAAAAGGTTCGATAACTTGATGAATCCGATCAAATTCATCAATCAAAACCACCTTGTTCTTTAAACACCATTCAAACCAGTCCTTAAACCCTTTCGGAGGTAAACGTTTATACCTCTTCGCGTATTCTGTAACAGCTTGCTGGAACGTTTTGGATTGAGAATCGAGTTTAGATTGCCATGCTTCTTGTGCTAATTTGATTAAGTTTAGGATCGGATAGTTGGAGGTGTTGTAGTTGATGGATTCGTAGTTGTTCGGTAAGTAAACATAATCTTGGTCTAGAATTGAATAAGTTTGGTTTGTTGAATTTGGAGTTGGAGTGGATGAAACAGTTTGGATGTATTCATGGTTTGATGGTTTGATCCAGTTTGGTAATAAGGCAGAAGGACTTGAAAGACTCGAAATTGATGAATTTATAAATGGATTCAAGCTATAGGTGAGCAAGATTCCTAATCCAAAACTAAGTAACAAGCTCATCAAATACACATTACAATTCCTAATAGTTGGTTTGGATGGAGAAGGTGTATCAAAGGCGGTAGATTGGATGAACGAGTGGGTTGGGATGCTGATTTGCATTCGATGGTGATGGTCTGGACTGTTTCCGCATCCGCCTCCTGTGGTGGGTGGTGATGGATAAAGTGTTTGGAGTTCTAGGTTTGGGGTGCTGGGTTGATCGACGTATGGTAGTCTTCGGTTTAAGATTGTGGGTTGACTGATTTCGATGGATGGTAATAAGTTAGATTCGTTCAAAAAGTAATCTTCTTCTTGTTGTTTTAAAGAATTCATCTTGACTTTGAAGTACAATATCTTTTGGTCGTCTATTCTTCTGAAGGATGTGTTTGGTTTGGTGGATGATGATGTTTGGTTTTTGATTATCATGCATGGTTGGTTTTGAATTGGATTTGCTCATGGTTTTTTGTAATTTGTAGTTCGATTAGTATGATTAAGATTTTTAATAAGCTGAACTTCATTTTGATTAATTTGATTTTATAAATTAATTTGAAGTTGATTGGATATCTTTCTTGATATATTCCTGATTTCCCTGGAATCTGTTGGCTTGTGGTGTGACAAATGCTTCGATTCAAGTTGGGTAGCTCGAGCCTCATTATAAGTGTCAAGTGTCACCATCACACTTGTAAATCAGATTCACTGAGCCCTAAGCTTAAACTTGCCAATACTTTTTCTTTTCATTTTCATTCCAATAAGATTCATCACTTTTTTGAAAACAAGGGGAAAACATTTTTATCTCTAGAATTATACTGATCTCGAAAGGCATTTGATTAGTTTGAGGTCTTTGTGTTGCACAAAGAGCAGTCAAATCTGGGTGGCTCAAAAGTCCCAAGGGCTGCAAGCGCTTTATGGTGTCAATGGGCACAAGCTTTTCACACGACAGCCATGTATGAAGCTTGACCTGATTTGAAATCTCATGAATAATCTACATAGAATAATCTGTGCACTTCTTCACTTCTGAATTTTGGCCACAACCACCTACCTAGCGCCATGAGTGTTGATAGGACCCTGGAGAGCCCCTATATACCCGGCTTATTGGGTATGTAGGAATTGGCCTTTTTGGGCAAAAAGCGTCCTAATCTTCTGGGTAGGAATTTGAGAAAATTTCAAAAAAATCTAGTAAATGTGCCTTATTGAAGAGGTAGGAATATGTCAAAAAGTCAAGGGAAAAAAATTATGTTGCTTACACCTGAGGTAGGAATCCAGCCTCTGCAGGCCATAACCACCATCAGCATCCAACTGCACATTAGGGGGGTTCAGGTCAAAAAATTTTACTACTTTTATCGCAAAAAACTTTTCCCAATTGCATAAAATTTACACAAAATTTTATGCAATTGGGAAAAGTTATACGACATCCCAATTTTGTTTTACACAAATTTGTGTAAATTTATTGCTGAGAAGGAGATCCAAAACAAAAATTTTACCGTCCTTTTTTACAAATTGGGAAACGTTTTTACAGCACGGTACCATAAGAAACTTTCCCCAATTTTTTAAGAAAAGGTCGCAAATATTTTGACTTGAGCCCCCTTATTACTAAGGGCCCAAGCAGTGATATGGTGGCACCCAGGTCCATTGTTGCTTATGAATACCAAGCCTGGTGATATCAAGTTCAAAGCTGAGATAGGACACCTTTTTCTACAGTACAACAAAGCCTCCATTGATAGATGTGATCAAAAAAGGCCCTTTAGATGACTCAAAACAGATTGAGATCAACTTGACCAACGATCTAGCAAATCATCCAAATGCAATTGTACCAACATATTGTGGTTTTGAAGAAAACTGTCCAAATTGCCTCATATTTTCTCATCTTGATATAGCACTGCAGAAATTCACTATGTGTTTCCCCCTACCACATCAATGGATAGTAGTGAACCCAAGGCTAACACCATATGGATTCCTCAAGCTTGTTGTGCTATGGTGAAAGCTATGAGCCAAGAACAGTAAATTCAGGCAGTTCTTGATCAACTTGCTGTTGAACATGCTCAAGCTCAAAAAAAATAAGCTACCCTCCAATTTTATTCTGTAAATTTTTTGTACTGTTTGTGATCAAATCCTCTCCACCTTGTCTAGAGATTCAATTGGATGTTCTTGCTTCAACTTTTTCATCTTCATCTCTACCAAATTCAAGAAAGAAAAATATTTTTTTCCTACTTGTGATCAAATTCTCTGATATCCACTATGTGTAGAGTTTTGATTTGATGTTCCCACTTTAGCTCTTCCAATTTTTTTCCACCAAATTCTAGAAAAAGTTACAAGTTTTTCAACAAAAATTGTGATGTTTAATTCCTCTGAAACAGCCAAAAACACAATTTTGAGGGTCCTTATTCAAATGGAAGGAATTTTGATTTTTTTTCCCAAAAAACAATGGTCCTTTTTCTGCTGGTAGGAATCCCAGATTTTTTTTGAAAACCGGCGAAAATCATGTAGGTAGGAGGGCAAAATTTGGGGATTTTTGTCACTAGGGTATATTGGGGCTCTCCAGGGTCCTGTGTTGATACAAGAATAAAAGGTTAGATAACATATTCCCATGAAGTTGATCAAGTTGATAATCTGAAAAGATTAATGTAAGTTTGGTAGTGCATATCATATGCTATACTAAAGACAAAAAAAGGTTGAAAAGAGAGGCAACCCAGTTGTTTGTGTTTGTTTGTTTTAAAAAAATCTCATGGTAAGTTTTATAACAACAGATAAGCTTTTCTTTTTTCTTCAAAAAAAAATCTATCGTCCAGGAAAATAGAAAAGGAATTTCCAAGAAGCAGAAGCAAAAAAAAAATTTCTTCAAAAACAGATTTATAAAGAATCAAAGAAGAAAAAAATCATCCAGAAATTAAAAATTTAAAGAAAAGATGAAGATTTTGGGTTTCACTTTTTGATTACTTGAATTATTTGTTTTAATACTTTTTTTTCATGATTATTAAGATTTTCTTCTTCTTATATTAAAATCCCTAAGAATTCAAAAAAAATGGTAATTAGTTTAAAGTTTTTTCAATTTCCATAAAATTGAAAGAATGAATTTATGTGGATTACTTTACCTTGTTAGCACTACCACATTGACCTAAAGGAGTGAAATAATATTTATGATCTACTTGACTACTACCGTCCCCTAAACAAGTTGGATCCTCCTAGACATTTCAAAAAAATAACAAAAATGTAAGAAGAGATGATGAATTTTAGATTTAAAAATTATAAAAGTTCACCAACATTATCACCAAAACAGTTTTGTAACCATTGAGTTCGATCACCAGTGATATGAGCTTTTGAACCTACATGAACTAAAGCACCAAGTGGTACGATCTATAAAAACACCCAAATCAAACCCTAAGTCATCAATTGTGAAAAAATCGGTGTGAATGGTTTTACTTACATGAACTGAGAAATCATTACGAGCTACTACACTTTGACCAGCCAAGACTTGAAACAGGTTATCGTATTTCATCACAGCTGCCATGTTGAAAGTTCTAGGCATACCAAAGTTATGAGAGTAATGTCTAGCAAAAAAAACAAATTCGAATTCAACATCAGTTTCAATCAGATCATTCTATCACATCCAAAGTTTTCGAAAAGTGATTTTTCTCTTTCTAATCAAAACTCTTACACATAATTACGAGCTCCTAAATCCATACCAGCAAGTGCAGCAATCGATCCACCAATCCCATGACCCGTAACAGAAAAAAGTAATCCCTATTGATCCAATCCCCAAGATTAACTCAAGTATCATTAAATTTCGTACGGTTTGATTTGAAAGATGATCAAACTGACAGTTTGAGCAACAGCTTGTTTAGCTATTGAAAAATCATTGGTGGATGATCTGATGCTTAAATATAATTCTTTGATTCCTTTTGCAACTTGACAACCTGAACAACCTGATACGATATCTTCGACTAATGTTTTCAACAAAAAACGAATTAGGTTAATATGTTTGGGTTTCGAAAGATTGAGGGTAGTAAGATGAAAGGTAAGTTTAGGGAATCAAAACTAACGTGTTGTGGGAGTCCAATCACTTTTTTTGGTTTGTGGTTGATCAAATCCAACTATGATCAATTAACATTTCTAGTTCGTTTATGGATCACCAATATCACTTACATTTGATCGTATCCCCTAAATTCAAATTAGAAAATGTTATAAAATTAGTAAACTCAATCAGGATTCGTTTTTTGAAGATTCAAGACCACACCAAGAAAAGAAAAGAAAAGGTACTAACCCATTACCTTTAAAGACAATTACAATCTTCACCTAAACCAATCCAATCCAAAAGAAAAACCAAAAATTTAGAAAAGAAAATGCATCAAATTGATAGAGTAAGAGACTCGCCATTTCTGGAATATGTGCAATATAACCTCCTTCAAAAGTTTGTAAGACTGTAAACCCTTTAAGAAAGGTTTGTGAACAAGTACTCATGAAATCACCATAAACTGACATGGCTAAATAAGCATGAAACCTAAAAGTTAAAAAAACAAAATTTTGTGAACCATTAGTGCTTTTATTTCCTTAGCTGGGTGTAGGCAAAGGGAAAAATGAGAATAGATTGGTCATGGGGGTTTCTTACCGCATGTGGTCTTGTTGAGTTGGATCGATTTTATACCATTCTTGATCATTAAGATAAAACCTAAATGAAGTTTTTTCCATCCAAATCCAATCAGCTTTAAATCCTTTTGTCTTAATAATTGCAAAAAAACAAATGTACCAATCTGGATGATCAGCATATGGAGTATGTCTATGAACTTGACTTTGACTTTCGATTTGATCTTCTTGTCTTTTTCTTAATTCATCACGATAATGATCACGAATAGAAATCAATCGTCGAATAGGTGTTGTGGTTTTAGTTTCTAATGCAATCAAAACTTTTACGTAAGAAAAGATTAGTAAGATTGAAAGAGTGAAAAGTTTCATTTTGATTTTTTTCTATTAAATTTTTGAAGAAAGCGAAAAAGGTAAAAGGTAGAAAAAGAATTGCGTTGTGCTAAGGGTTTTTTTAAATGGTTCAGCGTTTTTGATGTTCGTTTTGATGGTTCGGACTTTGGCAAGTGAAAATGAAAGTGTTGTTGAACCAAGTTGATGTAAAAAGTGATGATGAGAATAGTTAAAGATGTTCAAGAATTCATGACTTGTTTGATGAAAGAAGTTTTAAACGATCGTTGGAAGCAGAAGATTGCAAAAGACGAATGGTGGTTGTACATATAACTGAAACATCATGAATCGAATTGTATACAACATTTCAGAAGGTTTAGGAAGAAAGCAATTAAGAGAAACAAACGGGTTGATTTGAACAGAGAGAGAGAGAGGCTTTTTTCAATAAACAAAAAAAGCCTCCCTCTTTTACCCCTTGAATCTCAGATTGAACATAAGAAAGTGGACTTGTTGATCCTGATTCCTGAGTGGATGGATTTTTTCTTACAATTTCCTATTCATAAATGCGGTGGTTAGTTAGGTCACAAAGAAATGCATAAATGATCTTTGTCCAATTCGACTGCACAAGGCGCGTTCTTCGAAGGATTGGATAATTGATCAAACTGTTTCAAAACTTCAAAGCTTGAAACTCGTTGAGATACCCTTTTAGAAAATACAAGTTTGATGGAATGAAGTCTACCCCAGCTACGGCTTCGTTGCAAAAGGTACGAGGATACGAGGAATCAGGATACAAGCGACTTTGTAGCCTTTTGACGGTGAGTGATGCTCTAGTTTGATCGTTCCGGGGCTTGTCTTATGAGCCACGCGCACTTCAAGCAGCCAAGACCCAAGAAGAGACCTTTAACCAAGAGGTTCGTTTTTTTCCGACTTGCGGAATGTGATTGTTTGATAAAGTCAGCTCAGCTCAGCATGGAGTAAGTCACACCTTGAATGCCAGCCTTGATTTTTAATCATCATGAGGAATTTATACGGAAGGATCTATGGACTGTGGAGAACCACATGAGGCCACTCTTGACGTGGACAACTCACATGGGCCATCCAGTCGCGCCCGGGATCCATGCCCGCTGAGGTCTATGTACCGTCAATCTTTCCAGTGCATATTTGATTCAAATTACAGCCGTTTCATGAAAGGTTGCAATTTTTTTTTGAGAAAAGTGATCCCCGCAGCAGAAAAATTTGATAAAAGTGGCACAACCCAGCTTAAAGACTTTACATGCACTTAAGCTTAAGTAAGCATATTTTGCGCGTTCGCCGCGCCCGTTACAATCTTAACGGGCACTAGTGGATTTGCAGCTATTTGCAGGCCTTCTTCCGGTCGTTCGACTGTCACACCACACCCACTATCTGCCATAAGGCAAGCTCTCGTCAAGCTCATGCATGGAAGAGAACCCCAAATCAACCCTTGGGGATGGAATGTCTGATTCCATCCCCCTTTTCACTCTTGCTCGAAGTGTCTGGGAGGACGTACCTGCCTCAAGCTCTGGTGATCAATATCCCTCTTCAAGAGACATCGAATCACCTTTCCCATCCGCCTCTGGACGTGATTTCTCTCTCCGCACCTTCCAAGTGATCACTGTTTGTTGACTCTTTTCTCAATTGACCTCTCAAAAACATTTCAATCATCATCCTTCGTGTCTGACTCAACTCCTCTATTTGTAGCTATTTGGAATACTTTCCATCAACGTGATCATTATGTCTTTGAATCAAGAACAAGGTTGGATGAATTCACGTGAGCATATTTCTATCTTTCAGCCACTATCTCCCTTGCCTTCCACTAACATACCTCTTCACTAGTCTTTGAGGACCCTCCACTTATTCACGATGGACCAGATGCCCCAGCTCGCCAAGCTGGAGGGAATTTGCTTCCCAAACCCGGTTCTCCAGCACGAGTGCAATTTGATAAAACCCATGAGGTCAAAATCAATGTTGAGTTCAAGATTGCTTTTGAGGACGAGCCGGACGAGCCACAAGTCCGCATTGGAGGATCCACAAAGTCTAAACCAAAGAAGACCTTTACAGTCATCAATTCTAACAACCTTCCGACCGGAAAAGGCAAATTTGTACGTGCCTGTCTTATAGGTAAGAGTCTGAATGAATTCAAGGTTTTGTGTGGCAACGTGATTGGGGAAATGCGAGAGGGGATGAACGAGGTCATTCTGACTGGGGAGATGGCCAAGGAGTTGATATGGAAAGTCAAGGTTGGAAAGACCCCATTCACCCTCAGTTCGTACACAGAGTGGCAGGAACTTGTGGACACAATCGATAGGTCCAAAACCAAAATTGGAGACCTTACCATCAGTACCCCTAGTGATGCTCAAAAGAAGCGTGAATTGGCCGCGGTTAGTTTTGTTTTTCTATGTTGATTAAGAAGCGCTCCCAAGTTGATTGTTTCAATTTCATCAGGTTTCAGCCACTGATTGACTTTTAAACAAGAAGACTTTAACGCCTTTGGAGATCAAGGTGTGCCTAGCTTCAAAATCTTCTCTTGGCAGAGCTGATCGAAAGACCTTGTTTGTATTTCCAGGAACATCAAGATGAACGGAACTCTTGGGAGCTCGTGGACAAGCTCATCCACCGTCATAGCCAGATTGGTCCGGGTGGCGATGGTGGCGAAATTTTGAGAGCCCCCTGGGACCCAACCTTCCGTTATAATTTTTCACTGCAAGGCGCACATATCTGGGCAAAAGCAATTGTCAGTATTCCTAAATTTCTCTATATGTTCAATTTTAGCTCATTTATCTGTGTCGGCTAGATCGATGGAACTGCGACTTTGGATATGCCTCCTAATTCTCAAGCTTACCGCGAGATAATGAAGAAATCCAAATGTCGTGGTGACAAATCGACTTCCAAAGATGCGGACACTTCCAATCTGAAACGCAGGATTAGTGGTCCTTCTTTGGCCAACAAAAAATCAAAGGCAATCCATTCTGGCAGACCGAGTCTTCCAGACAATTCAGGTGTTGCACAATCCACTTCCACCTCCAACCAAGGTGAGTTTGGTATCCACGGCAATCGAATCACCTCAACTTACCGTGAATAACATATTGTTTGTCTTCATTTCCATTTCTAGCGGGTGCAGGACAACACGCTCACATCGATCCATCCCTTCAAGATCCGAAGATCATTGATATGACCCGCTCAGGTTCTGAAGGAGATTTCAAAGAGGATTTTGAAGAAGAGTTGGAAGATGGTTTGGAAGATGATTTTGTAGACAGAACGTTGACCTCAGACAACATCGAAATCATGTCTTGAGATGACAAACCCTCAGAGTGCTGCTTTATTTACAAAAATACAATTGTCATTGTCGGTTTCACACCTCATTCTGATCCCATTTGTCATGGTTTCCATGTCTTCGCTCCCACTGAAGCGACCTCTATTATGGTTATCGATCTTGTTACTTTTTCAAAAGAAATTCTATTGTTTCCTATCTTTTACAACCTGGTGTCTTTAATTGTCTGAATACTTTTGGTGTGGTTTGTGCTTATTCAATGATTGACTAATACGATGTTTCCCAAATTTAATTGGTGTCTTAAAGCGAAGATCCTACCTTGATTCCATTTGTTGATTAGATCAGGATTGAGTACTGATGATCGATACGGACTGAGACAATGTCTGTGACTTGTCCGATATGATGACACTGAGGACATCATCTCTGATGCATCTCTGATGTTGTTTCTTTTCTACCATTTTCTTCATCCCGTCAAAAAATCAGATGTATCTGTCAAACACACTCTGAACGATGAAGATATAATGGTCTTTTATTGGGTTAGTTTGACCCAATATCCTTAAGCCCCAACTACCTTGAAACACACGCATGCCTCATCTCATATTGTTGTGAACGCTTTTTGTCTCCATAACAATGCTTTTGAGACAAAGAACTTGATCAAAGGTCACAAACTTTGTATCAAAGTTCATTACTCATCTTCCAACAAATTTGATTACACATTTGTTAGCAATGGAAAGTTGCTTGTTCAAGCTTTCCTTTTCTCACTCGTTCATTTTGCTCATTGTCATAAAACAAAGGAATCAATCATATGTTAAATTCAAAGTCAGACTCACTCCACTCTCTTGCACTACACATGTTAATCATAGTAGAAGTGTGAATACCACATTGTTGGCATTCATAGCCGAAAGAAAAAAGAGATTGAATTCAAGTCCAGTGACCACAATTTAGGAAAGTTTACAAGCCATCTATAAGTCACAGCAAGAATGGATGGGTGTCCTTCAACTTTAACAGTCAATTTCATACTAAAAATAACCAGAGCCTCTAAATAGAGAAGTAGTCAGCTCCTCGGTGAATATGTCCATACAAGCAACCCAAATCGCTTCTTTCTCCTGATCTTTAGTGAGATCCCAATGTAGAATTCCTGATCGGCGAAGATCGGCCTTCAATGGCGAGAACCCCTTTTCAATTGGATTGAAGTCGGGGCTGTACGCTGGGAGGTAGATAAGTCGAATCCCGCGAGCGGCACAGAGGTCAGGAATTCGACCACCGTGATGGATTCTGGCATTATCCATCACGAGAACCAAGTTCCTAGCTGGCCATGGTTGCATGAATGGCAACTACAGTCGTAGGAAGTCACTCAGCTGACCAATCAACATGAACCAAAAAGATGAAAGCTTACCAGATGAAATTCTAGATAATCCTCAAATCTCACTCGGTTGTAACCCCCCTCAATCACTTGAAGACCAACAATTCCACTCATGGAGATCGCTGGTAGGATCGTCCATCAATTCGCAGTAGTTGCACGTTGCAGGCGACGGGTTCGCTGTCCGCGGCGAGACCTGGCGTAATCTCGATACAAGCGCCGCTTGGTTAGGCTGCTCTCATCTGGAATCAATTGTCAGCAAATGATATCATTAAAAGAAAGAAAAATGTGGGACAACCTACCAGCAAAAACCAGACATCGCACATCAATGCCAAAAATTCTTGCGACATATTGGCCTCGAGCGATTGGACTTTGGTTTGGATAGACCGTTCGCGCTTTTTTTTGAGTAAGGTTTAGTCAAGACTTGATTTCATTGAATAGAGTTCCAGTTGATATGTTGATATTGAATGTTTCAAGAAGTTTTGATTTCAGCTTGTCCAAATAAAGGGTGGGATCGCCGTCGAGGGAATCCATGAGGAAACGCCGCTGTTCATCGTCCAGCCGAGTCGGAGCTCCTTGATCCATCCAAAGATTAGGATCGGTAACCACCGAGCGTGTAGTGCGGTAGAGGTTATACCAACGTCGAACCGAAGCGATTGAAACCTGGAGTCCTAATGTACGGACAATATCCGGGTAGCTCATCCCTCGCAAGACCAATCGCACAATTGCAACCTTGAGGTCTGGGCTGTAAGTATTGAAAGGCATTTTTGACGGAACTCGGCATGTGATGGGAGACGGTGAGAAGGGCAGAGAGGGATGAAAAACAAGGTTAGAGATAAGTGCTAGTCACGTACCAGATCAGAAAAGGGGCCCTTCGCCAAGCACGCACCCCATCGACTGAGTGAGAATCGAATATGATCTGCATTGAGATAGGGGTGACAGATGACCGGAGGGGATATTGGGAATCCTCTCGCGAGGATTCTTCTAGTGATCAAAACTGTACAAAGCAGGGCAATAAAACAAAACTCGGTTTTGTCACCGCGACGACTTTTTGAAAAAAAAATCAATCATTCATGAAACGGCTGTATTTCTTTCATCCTGCATCTTCCTACATGTTAAATCTCATCTAATTTTTCAGAATTTTTCACATTCATCTGTACAAAACGTTCCACTTGGGTCGACTCATAGGGGATTGGGTGATTTCTCGGTCAACCGGTCACCCTCGCTGCAGTTTTGAATACGCAGAAGGCTGTTGAAGCCGCCAAAATGAAAGGATAGGTTTCGCGTACTTGTCCTTTCACCAGTTTACACGAGGCCTTCTCTTGATCAGTCATGTTTAGGTCTGATTCCTTCATGATGATGTACTCCAGTATACTCGGGCTCAATTGACAGGAATTGCCTCCCACCTCCAAATTCAGACACACACACAGTCCATGATTGGGTCTTTATTTGTAAGTCTATTCAACCTATGGATCTTTGAATGGAACTGATGTTTTACTGTTACATGATTTGGTACTTCAAAATACTACACCAGCTTTAGGAACCACCATTATTTGATGTAAGTATTTGTCTTCAATTTTATCAGTGTCTTGAGCTACAATTTTTGCAGGATTTCTCATCATGCCAATTCAAAGGCTTATTTTCAGAGGCCTTTATCACATAGTTGCTGGTATTGTTGAGGCTCTGAACATGGCCTGGTTTGTTCTGTCCTTAGCATCTCAGGCACATTGATAGGAGACCCGTAGCCCATGATGGGTCCAGGGCCATGTACAGTTCCCTACCAAAATTATACGTAATTTGAAATTTGAGACCCCTCCACGTCACTACCACCATACACAAAAATCAGCAAAAGTTCAAACCACCCAAGCCGACTGGCTAAATCAAGCAAGGACAGGTTGTATGTGAGCAGGTATATAGCTTTTATTGAATGAAATGCATGGACTTACTTGGTGTGAAAGAAAGGTTTCACCAACGGGTTGGTCCACCTTTATTTTTTATGACTTTGTTAAGTTGCTCAGGCATAGATGCCACCAACAATTGTAGCTTATTGTTCGGAATAGCCCACCACTCACTGATGATGGCTGAGATCATCTCTTGACGTGATTGAGGCTTGTCCTTCTTAGAAATTTTGTCTTTGAGGAGCTTCCAGAGATTCTCAATTGGGTTGAGATTGGGACTATTGGCGGGCCAGTCAAGTTTGATTCACAGTGTCATTTTACTAGTCACTGGCAGGCCAGTGAGTTCCATTCACCTCAATCCAATCTCAATTCAATGTCAGTTCAATATCAGTTTGCCCTCCAATGATGTTTGAGTGGGGGATATGCATGGGCTGCATAATCACACAAACCTTCCAGACATTCTGACACCTTCATGTGTGGACATGCAACCAAACTTTATTCCAGTTCATTCTGGAAGGTTGTTTGTCTGTTACTCTAGGCCAAACATTGAGATTGGATTGATATTGAACTGACATGGATTTGAGATTGGATTGAGATTGGATTGAGCTGAACGTACTCACTGGCCTGCCAGTGAGTAGTAAAATGACACTGTGATTAGGGAATGTTGTTCCCGCCAGGTGCTTGCTTTCTTGCTTTGGTGGACTGGAGCTCCATCCTCCATGAGTATCAGATTGGGTGGAAAATGAGGACTGCGAAGTAATTCAGCAAGACACTTCTCATAGACTAACTCCACGTAGTCGGATGAAAGAGTACGGCCTGGAGGCATTACAACAATTGGGAGTCGAAAATTTGCTGTGAATGCACTCCGTATCATCACTGATGTTCAACCACTTCGAAAAGTAGGAACTAGACAGTCAACAAGGTACTTTTCATAAGGCATTCTCCAGACTAAAACCTGTCTGGAGTTTTTGCCAATTTCAAAGTAGCACTCATCTGTCCAGATTACCCTGTTCCAGTCTTCAACAGTAAAGTGTTGGTACTTTTTAGCAAACTCTAGCCGTCTTTTTTTGTGTGTGTCATTGAGGGCTGGCTTCTTGGCCGCTACACATGAACGTATCCCAAGTTTGTGGATTTCTCGCCAGACAGTTGTTGAGCTGACTTTTGTGGGAAGGAGCTTGGTGATTTCAGATAATGTTGCCCTTCTGTTTTTCTTGAGGATTTGCTTCAAGGTTTGTTCATCATGTTTTGTGATTTTTTTTGGTCGTCCAGCATGATTTTGGGTAGTTATTGTACTGGTTTTCTTGAACTTTGAAATCACAGTATATACCGTTGTTGGTGGGTAGCCTAATTCAATTGCAATCTGCATGCCCCGCAGGCCTCCTTCATGCATCCCAACAATCCTAGCCTTCTCCTCTGGTGTCAAAGATTGAGTTTTCATGATTTTCAGGATGAATGTGATGTGTGAGTTGTGAGGAACCAGGTTTCAAGAACAACAGTTCTCTGGGCTGAGGTCAAAATACATTAATATTTACGTAAAATTTTGGTAGGGGACTGTAGAGCCAAACACATCCTGTGATCTGATGGTGTTACTAAGGCAAGTAAATAGCACTGTGGGGTGGATTAGGGACCAGTCCAAGGAGGAACCTGTGAAAGGTAGGCCAGTGCATAGCAGTGCATCCAACAAGTTTTTGAGGCTTGCTTTTTGGACAGCTATGGATTTTATAGAGAAATGACCCCCAACAACATCAGATCGTGCCAGTGAGCA